AGTGGTTTGTATATTTTTCTGATTAATTTTGCATTAACTTCTGAAAATTTCATGATTTGGTATTTATGCTTATAAAAAGCTAATAGAAGCCATGGTTAGATGAATATGTAAACCATTTTTGTCTTAAAGCTTAATTATGGGGATTTGCGGAACATTTTTGCTGTGCTATGTATATGGAGTTCCAAAACTTTTGAAAAAAAAGAGGCTTAAAATTCAGAAAATTCATAGTACATGGTTAACAAGAGATTAAGAAATGCTGACATTGGAGCCAGACATCTAGATTGAATCTCATCTCTACTCTTAATGTGATGTGGAGCAAGTTACTTAATTGTCCTCTGCCTCAGTTTATTCATCTGTAAAGTGAAGATTATTATAGTACCTGCCTCCAGCTTGTTACCGGGATTAAAGGAGTTAAAATATGTAGAGTGACAGTGCCTGGTATACAACAAACCTTACATAAAAGTTAGCTATTACTTTTAGTATTACTGTGATTGTTATTATGGCCCGTATTTAAGTTGTAGTCTGTGATATGTTTAGTGAGCTATAATATAACTTCATAAAGGAAATAAAAAATTTTTAAATAATTCAATACTTGAGTATACATGTCTGTCACAAAATTAGCTAGTTCTAGAAAAATTTCAGCTTTGCAAAGTCAGAAACTTTATTTTATCTAGTTTGTCCAAAGTTGGTGGGGCATCTAGGGACTAACATGCCATCTGTTAGAGAGGTAGGCCCCCTGATTTTATATTAACAGTGAACAAAACATTGATCTCTGCCATCCTGGCTTCTCCTTAGTGTCAGCCAACTTTGGGAAACCAGGTCAAAACATTGCTTGTGAACGCAGGATAAAAACGAAGGGACATTTTCTCAATTATGGAAAAGATTAAGGACAGACTCTTTCTACTCCACAGATCTCTGCTGGAACACCCTAGTGACTGAAATACTTGTACCCAGCAGCTCTGTCTTTTCCTTCTCTGTATAGTGCAGGGTGCACAGATAGATTTGATCCATTTTCTCATGCAGTGCCATACTGCGTATCCTGCTGGTACAATTAAATGTCTTTTTGGAATTACCTTTTTGCCCTGAATCAATTTAGTTTTCTAGATTGGCCCTTGGGGCTTCCCAAATCTTCAGTAACATTTATAAATCATAATTTTGGGCTAATAAGTGACTAATTCATTCTCTATTTTTACTAGATTTTTATAAGTGTAATTCTCAGTTTGTAATTCTTAGCATTTAGGAGCACTTGAAGTCCCTTTTGTAACTAGTTACAATAGTACCACGATGTAGAACAGTCCCCTTTTAAACAGCTAAGTAAATCTTTAAGCCTTATTTTGTTTGAATTATATCTTAAAACTTAAGAAAGTTATATCTTATAACAGAATGTTAATGCTCCTGTTTGTTACCATGATAGGGCAAACTCATTTCTTAGGCTAACTTTTATCTTCTACCTTTTACCTCATTTCCTCTCCCACCCACCGAACAGGCCTTTCCTGTTAATTCTGGCTAAAAAATGGAGATAGTTAAAAAGCTGTTTTAAAAGGGATTGAGATGAGATTTCCCATGGACAGTTAAGAAGC